TTTTGCCATACATGGAAAGGTATCTGGAAAAATTACACACAATTTTATTTCTTTATTTGCAGAATTTATTTATTTCTACCTTTTATGACAAAGTAATTACATAAATAGTTTTCTTAGTAAAAATATTTATTTTTTTACAATAAAAGTTAAAAATATGTTCTTCTAAAAAAAAAAGAAATATCGTGAATTTTTTTCCAAGATACGTTTTCATATATGGTCAGGAAAAACATTAAAGTTGAGAAACAAACTAAATGACACAATTATAATTAATGAAGACGTAGAAGCTAGATTGATAAATATCTTTTATATAAATAGGCGTTATCTAGACATTATAAAAAAAAAATGTTACGAGCTAAGAGAATAGGTAAGTAAGAGTGTGAAAGAAATAACACTGGATGCCGAAGATAACAACGGTAGAGAAGTGCATCAAATGAGATCGGTACTGCGAGAAGTGTTGAGAATTTGTAAAAAGATATTTGGAATGGTAAATCAAATCTATCAATGGCCATATAACACAATACCTTACACTTCTTTTGATGTATCCGACAAGACTTGTTATCATTATGATTTTGTTTGCTCTGGTTGGCTTGTCGAGGAGCGTCCCATGCTGTAAACACATTATTTTAGTACATGTAATCACACTCACAAATATGAAACATTAACCCAATAAATATCGTACACATACTATATACTTTGACCGTTTACATTATAACCTCATATCGCTTGATTGAATTTTTGATGTAGATGGATCCTTCGATCATTTGACAATGTTAATTTGCTACTATAAAAACTCACAAAACCTGTACTATATTAACATTTACATTAAAAATAAAGATGATAATCAAGTAAATATATGAAGAAAAAATTCTCTACTTGTGTATATAGACACTTGTGTATATAGACACAACACATCATTTGAAAAGGTTTATATTGTATTTTTTACAGTCGTCGCATCATTATTACTAATTACTTTATTTCGATAAATAACTTATATGCCATATTCCTTAATACTATTGACTAGCCATTAACACATTACTTTTTTTGTATTTTATTTTTGCTATAACCGTCTATTCGTGATTTATTTGGTCAACTATTTGTGAATATTTACATAAAGTTTTAGAAGGCTTATATTGTATTTTTTACGGTCGTCGCATCATTACTATTTATTATTTTACGTTATTACTATCTTCTTAACTTTGACTACCCATTTATGCATATTACTTTCTTTCTTTTTTGCTAAGTTCATGAACGTCTATTATTCTCTTCAATATCAAAAATTATATATAAAACTAAAACTACGTTTATCATCTTTTAAACATCAAAATTATATATTAAACTATATGAAAATTTACATATCACGTTTACGCAATATTAGATTGGTTATAAGATTACTTTTGTTATGTTTTGGTTTATGGTTTGAACTCAACTTAATTGTTTATATTTAAGAACATTTGCATTTTATTTGAATCAATGAAAATATTCAAATCTTTTGTCACAATATCAATTTTAAAATTTGTATCAACTTTGTGTTGATTTTTTTTTTAAATATATTTTTACTTGACTAGTATCTAATATATTGTGGTTTTTTTGTAAAATGTTTAGACCGTTTAGACTCTGATTAAGCGTTTTAGACACTAAGCTCAAACTCCATAAATTGCCTTATGCGAACTCTTTCATACGTAAGCCCGTCCCGGATCGCAAATGACATAGATCGAAAATAACCGAGCAATCTTATGACCTCTACTATTTCACATTTTCACTTTTACGATATCCCTCATTTTTCGCAAAACGTCAATTCAGGGTGGAAGACGACATTTTTATTGGGTTTTTTTTAATGTATATATATATATATTTTTTTTTTGTTGAAACTTGTTTTTCTTTAATATTGTTGGCAATGATAGTGTATGTAAATTTGTAGGTGTGCTATGTGCATATTGCCGAATTTCCGACCAAATTGTAAATTTCCAGACGGTTCTAACAATTTTTTTGTTCCAATATCTATTAGAATCTTGGCAATTTCGTCGAAATCTTGACTGTTTTGTTATAGTGCGACAATTCCTATTAATTACCTCCAAACGTTTGCCATTCTCCACTCATCATATTACGCTTGTGTCATTTACCAAAATAAAGTTGTGAAAAGTGATTAAACTAATTAACTATGAGTCTATGACAATGAAATGATTATTCTTTGTTTTCTAATATACACTGATTAATCTTTTGCTTGGTTACTTCATAAATTTTAATTATATTTAGAGTTTAAGATATTTGATAGATATTAAGTAGTTAAGATAAAAATTGGGAGGTTCGGTTTGATAATCCCAAAAATTTATGTAATTTGAAAACTAACCCATGTTTTTAAGATTTTGAAAACTAACCTTTTTAAAGTAAAAGACAATAATATCTCCATAAAATTTGATAATTTATAATTACAAAAAGTATATTTTAAAACAAAAATTGGATAAATTGTAGACAATTACTACTCTAAATATAACCAAACTACACCAACTAAATAACCATTTTTTGTTGTTGCTTTAATTAACTGCAAAAGATTAAAATATAATATAAACGGAAAATCAAATTTCAATCCAACCTGTAAAATATAATTTTATAGCAAAATATAACAATGTTATACCTCAAATTGAGGTAGTAATGTACAACTTGAGATAGTAGTGTATAACTCCCTCTCAACACATGTAAATAACATAAGAAAATGTGTTATACTAGATCGTTAAAATAAATCTTTCAATTAATTATTATAGTGCAAAATATAAGAACTTTGGTAGGCAAAAAAAATTGCCAACTTAATTTTCCTATAATCAACTATTTATGAGAAACTAAATCAAATGAACTAAACATTATATAACTTGAACGCGAACCATAAATTTTATGCAATTCACCATTCTTAATTTTGTCAGATATGTAATTTTTTATGGTTGTATATTTTATTTATAATCTACATTTTTTATTTTTTGATCAATCACGTGAAATGATATTTGTAAATTAATTTATCATAGAATTAATTGCCCAATGATAACACAACTTGATTTTTAAAAAATCTTTATATATCTGATAATCTTAGTTGCCAATAAAGTTAGTTTTCAAATTTTAGAAACATGAGTTAGTTTTCAAAATACACAAAATTTTTGTAATATTTTTACAAATTCCTCGTAAAATTTTGATAAATATACCCAAAAAAAAAGCGAACATATATGAACTACCACTAAATAGGGTTTACTTGGTTACAATATATAAAAACCAAGCCCTAGTTTCCTAGTGTGCTCGGCAGCTAAACGCAGACATGGATACGCCCAAGGATTGGTCCAAGCTTTGTCCTGATACTTTACGTAAGATCCTCGAAACCTTGAGCCCTAATCCTAGCGACTCTCACCGAGCAAAAGTCGTCTGCTCAGATTGGTATTCCGTTTGGAAAACAAGCTTGAATCGGCCTCCGTGTCCACTATGGATCATACACCAAGGTGATTCTTTGAATCATCCGAGAAAAAACAAGAGATCTAGCAAAAGAAAACTCTTCCAACTCACCAAAGATAGCTATTGTATGGCTAGCTCCGGTAATTGGCTCCTGATGGTTGATTCTCATTTCGATGTCCATCTTTTGAACGTGTTAACGCTTAAAAGGATCAATCTTCCATCAAGCAAATCTCCAATTCGTGGTGAACAGTTCATGAATTATGGTTGCTTCGTCGGGCCTTCTCCTAAGGATAAGGTGTTAAAAGGTATCTTCGGATGCAAGAAACCAGCTGTTTTGTGGATAAACGAGAGAACAAAAGATTATGTCGTTGCTTGGATTTTCAAAGATCGTTTGTTCACATACAAGAAAGGAGATCGTTCATGGTGGAATTTGAACCAAGAAGGCGCAAATTCGGGTTTCTTGGATTTGGCTTATCAAAACAGTAAGCTTTATGTGTTCACAACTGATTATCACATTAGGATTCTTGATTTCTCTGGAAATGTTCCTAAAGAAGAAGAAACTGCAAACCCGTATCGAAACCATCCTTTCGACTTCGTTGAGCAGCCTTGGGAGTACATTTGGAAGAGGAAAATAGCGATTCAGAAATCGGGAGAGGTTCTGATCATCTTGAGCTTAAAAGAAGCAAATTACGAAAAGAGACTTTTGTTTTACATCTTTAAGATGAATCTTGAGAGTTACAAATGGGAAAGAGTAGATTCTATTGGGGATGAGATGTTGATTTTTGGTCATGGGGTTACAGTAAGTGTATCGCTTAAAGATTTTGGTGGTGGAATCAAGAGTGATTCAATCTATTTCGTTGACGATGATGTTTGGCCAGATCATCAAGATCATGATGTTCGTGCTTCAAATTGCGGTGTCTTTGATATTGCCACAAGTGGAATCAAATGGCCTAAGAGATCTTGTTTTTATATAAATAAAACTCAGTGGTTTGTTCGAGGAGTTTATTATTAGTCTAGGTGAAGTATTGTTGATGAATTCTTTTCTTTTTAGTTTTGATCTTTGAGTGATTTAGATTGGTTTGTTCCACAATTTGCTTACACTTTGTTCAAGTAGTTTTCTATTTTCCTTAAAGCATTTTGGTTTGATTTTTTATTTGTAAGTATTGGTTTGTAGCTTTCTTTGAGGAAGTCTACCGCGTCTTCCAGGTTAGAGTCATGATTGCTGGCCATATCCCTAAGAAGAGCATACAAATGATTGCTCCTCTTTTGCTCTCTATCATATACATGTTTTCCCTCTCTGTGAAATCACAAAAAAAACCCACTGCATTGTTGTAGTAAAAGAAGTGAGCCACATGTGTTATCTAATCTTCGACATCTCTTGACAAAGACGCAGCTAGCTTGTGATAAGAACGTAGACTAAACAAAAAACATAACACAAGAGACATGCTGTTAAAAGAATACTATTAACTTACTGGTCTGGATACACTGCAAAGATCTATCAAACTCATATTAAGATGTGTAGTTCTATCAAAAATCTCAGGAAGAGTGAAAGCCACAACGCAACACAAGAGAAAATCTTTTGTGTTTTATAGAGAAGAAATATATAAGAGCATATACTAAAAACTAAAGATCTCTGTCTAGTGGCTTTCTTGAAAAGAGATTTTGTATCAAGCTTGAAGAAGAAGTAATAAAGAAGTTAGCTTCCCATTGATGGGCAGATCCAGATTCAGAAAGAAGTTAGCTTCCCATTTTGTATAAAATAAACAAATCTCAACTTGTGTTCGAATTAGATTTCTACATAATGAAACGCAAAGTACAAAAAAAGGCATTACACTAAAGAACTTGATTAAAAAAAAAAAGGCTGACAATGGTCACTCAAAACAAAAGCATACATGATCAAACCCTCATCAGTTTACAACGCAAGAAAACGTAAGAACTGGGGACCGTAAGCACAACATTAGTACACTCAACATTCCCCCAAACTTCGTCACCGTCGCGTTTCCAAGCGCAATCACCGAACACCAAATGTTCTTATGCATCCCTAGATTAATTTAGTTTTATTATAAAATTAGGAAAAGTAAAAAACAAAATTAGATCACTCTTGAAACAAAATATGATCATTTGTTTTGATAAAAAGTCAATTTAACAGTTACATTTTAATCTAGATTTTTGTTTTTATTTTTTCAAGTAAATTTGATCACGTTTTTTTATATAATAATTTTTTTTTGTCAACCAAACTTTAATTAAAATATGCCACTGTGATTGGTAATCCAATTGGGCGGAAAGTTGTTTATTATAATAATGTTTTCAATGTAAGAATAAAATATATCCAATAACATCTACACTAGGCGTCGCAATAGAAGATGGTAAGATCCCATTTGGGAGGCAATATCTCATCATTTCTCAACTCGATTAGAACATTGTGTCTCTCCATGCCAAAGTTCGAAGAACACAATCCCGAAGCTACCGGCAATTCAAAAGCATACTTTTATAAACATAGAAATAAGAAGAAAGAATAAATTCATCTAAGATACCAACAGCTACTTTTGATTAATCTTAACCTCACATTGATCAAGTTCATGTGCTTTGTAAAAAGGAGAACCGTGTTTATCAGTATTTCCAGTCAAGCTTTCATCCACATCCAAGATTTTTGTTGATCATCAGAATATAATAAGATTAATAAAGTAGAAAACACTTAAAATATCAGAATATAATGAGATTCATAAAGTAGAAAACAGAAAATCATAAAGTACAAAACCATACCTAGACCGAAATCTCCAATTTTGATTTCATCTTTATTCTTGAGGGTCAAAGAAAATGTTCATCGGTGTCAAATCACGATGAACAATTGTCGTTTCATGTATGTGCCCTAAACCCTTTGCAATTTGACGAGATGTGCGGCATGCAAAATCTTCGTTGAAACTATACTTTTCTAGATGCTTGTGGAGAGTCTTTGAACAAAATATGAAGAAAAAAAAATAAGAAGAGGTGAGACAATGTAGAAACAGATATAGGCATAAGAAACTAAGGAATTAAGCTATAACCATTTACCTAGGACAATATTCCATATGAATATGTAGCCACTCAAAGTTGTTGCACAGTTGATGCACTTTGTGATCCCAAACTTTCATCATCACAATAAGCACCTCCTTCTTCAACTCATGCATATTGCAATGAAACGAAACGTTAACACACATATAGGCAAAGGAATGGCAAAAGTTAAGAAGATGCTACTGATTTTAATCAAGTTCACATAACACATCTCATATGCATATGAACCACATTTGAAACTAAAAGGAGAAAGAAAAGCATATAAAATGGAGAATATACCAATGACTCACAACTCTTTGAAGATATCGAGATATCGTGACTCAATTGAAGGTGATGTGGATCCAAAATGCAGAAAACGGGTGGAGAGCTAAAAGATAATATCAGTCAGCTTTATTTTTGATTTTCAAATAGATAAATATTAAAGTGTGCAAAGGTATACTCACCATGTTTAGTTTGTGTGCATCATTGAAAATGATATAAAAGTCTGGAGATGACTTAAAGCTAATTCTAACACTCCTTCATGCAATAACTGTTTAACAAAAACAATATTACCATCTACTTTTCTTTAAAGAAGGAAACCAATGCTGAGAATTGATAAGTGAGATAAAGTAAAAGCTTACACCAAGCTCAATCAATTCACCGGTTATCTGAAGCAATGAATCAGACAAAAGCTCTTTAGAAGAGCAAGCAGTGCGAAGTAAATGGACCTATTAGAGTAACAAAAGCAGGGTGTTCAAATTAGAGCTACACTTACACTAATATATAATAATGTAGAAGGAAAAAATAGAACTACCATTAGTAAATCCTTCTCCTTCGAGAGATGTTCGTTCTCTTCATCGTCATAAGATCCACTGCTTTCCTTGGAGAGAAGTTCCTTCTCTTCATCATCACCAGATCCACCATTTTTGTCTTGGATGCTCTCCTTTAGCACTAAAGCTTGTCTCCAACCAGGTTTCATCTGTGATACCAACAAATCCATCAAAGAGTGAAAGAAGGTGGATGTAAATATATAATCACATAGTAATAATATAATGTATGATGCATTGTGTAAAGAAAAGAGTTGGAAAGTAGATCAACCTCGATACAACGATCAACGAGTTGCGTGCTCTTTGACTAATTCCTACTTTTGTAATAACCCACAACAACAAGAAGGTGAAGCTTCTTCGGATGCTTTAAAGGAGGATCCGAGTTTGCAAGAAATGCTGCAACAGGAATAGCAACCAAAAAGATTTTATCAATCTCATGATGCAGAAGAGAAAAAAAGCTTAGGCCAAGGTTTGCAAAGAATAAGACATGCATGTTACTAGCTACCTTCAAGCATTCCTATTCCGCATTGCACATCACCGGCTTGATGGGAAAGAACGAGAGCCCAAGACAAACGCATTAGACGTTCTTTGTATAGTTCTTTAGAGCCAGCAACGTCTGTGGCCTCCTTTTCACATCTCTGCCACAAAAATAACAGAATTTAGCTGGTGAGCTTCAAAGATTGAACAAGACAAGAACTATGATAATGTGACAATAAGTAAACTTCAACGGTTGCGAAACTTGGGACTCAACAAGAGGTGCAGCAAATAATCACTTATTTCACAAGTCATGAACTTCTAAAGTTCGATTCAAAACTATAATTTTCTAGATCCTTGTAGAGAGTCCTTGAACAAAATATAAACGACAAAGAAAACTGATAAAAGGTAAAACAATGTAGAAACATATATATGTAAGGCGTAGGAAACTAACGAATTAAGCTATAACCATTTATCTGGGATCTGAATATATAGGAACTCAAGGTTGTTGCCATGTTCTTGAATTTCTGTTGATGCAGTTTGTGATCCCAAACTTTCATCATCAAAATAAGCATCTCCTTCTTCAACACATGAATAACTCGACCGAAACCACATTTACCTGCCAACAAAGAGTTTCAACGGATAGCAAGAAGGAAAACTAATTTCTCTAAACAAGTAATGAATAATGTTTGGAAAATATACTAGTGAGTTTCAACTTCGTAAACTCAATGTGATACCGAGACTCCATTGAAGATGGCTCCAAAAACTCAGGATAAAAGGCCGAGTCCATGTGTTTGCCTGTGGTCGTCCTTAAATATTACTATAGAAATCTAGAGATGACTCGGAAGATAAGTCTATCACCCTTTTAGACAATAACTGTTGAAGAAAAAACAATACTACCATTTATTTTTCTTTAGAGAATATAACTATTATTGAGAATTGATAATTGAGATTATGTACAAGTTTACACCAAAATCATCCAGTTCAGGAGTTTTTTTTTTTATCAATTCATCAACCAAAGGCTTTTTGAAGAAGCAAGCAATGCGAACTAAATGAGCCTGTTAGAGTAAAAAAAACAAGGCGCTTAGATTAGAGCTACATTAATATCTAATAATGTAAAAAGAAGAATTACCATTAATAATGGTCAATGATGAATTGGAATCGAACTATCTGGACTGAACACATTTTAAATTGTTAGTCAACCTACTAAAATTTACCTAAGTTTTTGCCACATGTATCTATGTTAAAGAATTCATTTAACTTTAACACATAAAAGTTCCTTGAGAAAAATATTGTTCCAGTTGTGGAAGTAATGTTGAGTTTCGGTTTGATC